GTGGGGCTGTTAACCAATGTCATAAAACAATATGTGTACTGACTGTTTAATGAGAAACTATTTGTTCTGTAAACCTTCACCTAAAGTACAATTTAAAAAAAAAGTTGTTTAAATCCTTCCATAATTTTTAATTCCTTGTGTTAGAATAATACTTTCTACTTGATAGAGTAATTCTTGCCTTTTATGAACTGTAAGTCTGACTGAGTGAATTTTTTTATGTACTAACTTTGAAAGAACATGCGACAGAAATACAAGAAAATTTCTGATTTAATTTGAAAATGACAGTTATCTTTAAAATGTGTAACATAGTGGTATATTTTTATGCTTTAGCAAGGAATAACACTATAAAAAGGTTAAGTTTTCTAATTTACAAATTTTTACTGTGGTAAATTTTAGCTCATGCTTACAATTCCCAACAATATATTTCAGAAAATCTTAAGAGGCTAGCAATTATAAGGCACATCATTATTTTATGTACTGGCAAGAAAGATAAACACTGTCAATTAAAGGATGACACTCCATCAACTACGTGACACATCCCAATTTCACAGATGTTAAATGTGGGAAAATGTGTACCTTGGAACTGACGAAATATAGTATTTCAGGGATATCAACTTCAAAATACCAGCTTCAATAGTTTTATAATTCTTAACTCAGAGACAGGCTTCCCCAAGTAATATATCAACAAGTTCTCAACCACTATGTCTATAATATTTAAATACCCATTAAAATGTACAACTCCATGGTCAAAGTATGGACTATGCATACTGCTATATTTAGAAATTCTGATAATAGATCTAACTTTAGTTGGATAAAAATTACCTGTAGGCATGCATCCCCTTTGTCAGTCCTGCACTATGCTTTTCATAAATTGACGTACAAGAAACACCTTCATCCAGTCCCCTAAATAAATCCAAAGTTTTACTTTAAACAAAGTTTAAAATATCCAAATTTCTTAATGCTTCACTTTTTTCTATATGCCTGATTTTAAAATATGATTTCCTTATAAACAGAAACCCTTAAAAATTTAGAGATAACGCATGAGAATTTTAACATCGCAAATTACCAAAATAAACAATAATGAAGTTTATTTAACTCTCAAACACCGCAACTTCTAAGTTATCCAATATATCTATCCTATGATGAGACAGCTCTAAACACTCAAGCTTATGCAGTAATGTTATTATCCTTGCTTAAGGTTTTGTCAAAGCTGTAAAAGCTAATAATCAAACTAATACAATGAAAGGTAAAGAATAACTAACTTGAGAAATCCAAAACAAAGACAAAAACATTTTTACTTCATATAGCTTCCCTTTTTCAATTCTGTAAGTTTCAAACTAAGAAATCCTTTTCATTACTTTTTCTTTTAATTCCACAAAAACATCAATGCAATCTGTTCTCTGATCTTAATGCAAAGATCATACCGAGGTCACAAGTACCAAATTTATGAGTCATAGGCAATGTCTAAAATCTAACAATTCTAACAGAATTCATATTTATCCTTCCCCAAAATATCTTATGTTTATTTCAGTGAGATACTAATCATAGAACTCTAAAGCAAAGAGAACCTGACACATCATTTAGATCCAATCCTATTCTACTCTGACAGGAAAGCTAAGCTCCATAATGAACTGGTTAATTTTATTAATCTGAATAATCATAAATTTTACAAGTTTCTATGGCTGGCAAAGGCCGTGCAGCAACTATGTTTGACATATTTTTCCCACTGAGGCCGGTGATTTCTCAAGAAGGTATCAGGGATCAGCTCCGAGTCTTTTTTTTTTTTTTTTAATTTTAAACAAAATGGCAGCTCTTAGGCGGTCTTCTTAAGTCAATGGTTCTTAAACAGGAATGGTTTTCAGAACTTGGCAAGTAGAAATGCCCAGCCCCATTGCAGAATATTCCAGTTCTCTAGTATGTCTGAGGAAGAACCCAGCCACGAATATTTTAAATGTTCATAAGGTGATTTTGTTTTTACTGCTAGTGTTAAGAATGACTCTGTCAGTCTAAAGCAATGATACTTAATGAATGATTATTTAATCACTTAACAATAGCAATAAATTGAATTCTAAATAATTTAGTACATATATAACTTGAACCCTCCACCAAAAATAAATTTTAAGAAACTACAGTACTTTAATTTGGCCTACCCAAAGGCCTGATGCTTTGACAATGACCCATCTTTATCCACACAATAAAATTAAGTTTCTGCTTTTCTATTAATCCATCCCTCATGTACAATTGGACGGAACTGTCAGCAAATTTGGAGGTGGTAATTCAGATTCTCTGACTTAAAACAGAGGCTACAAGGTGTACTGAAAACTCACTTTGAGGTGAAGCCTCGAAGAGAAAAAGACTCAGACTCAGAGTAGGTAGATATAATGTAATTTGGGGATCACGCTGCTTCTAACTTTTATGTAAATATCTGCCAAAGTACAAGTTCAGCTGGGATTTATTTTTAAAATGGTTAATGAGTCTTCATGGAGTTGTTAATAAGTGAATAAAGCCTATGTAGTAAAAACCTCTTTAATTTTATATGATACTCAAATGAATTATTTTCTATCTTAAATATTTAAGTTGATAATATAATCCAAATGAAAGAGAAACACTTACTTTAAGAAATCAAAATTGTGAAGGCTATCATTCCAGAAATACTTTACGCTATGGTGGGTGAAATAACGAATCTGCAGAGCATAAATAAATGTTACATCAAAATGCGTATCATCGGTTGTTAACAGTTAAGTTTACAAATTTATCATATGATGACATACTAAAATTATACTGATTACATGTGATACGTAATCTGTTTTTTCTAGTAATGTCTAAGCTATGCTCTGTATGGTATCTCTCAAACGATCATAACTGCAAGCACAAAATTATAGGATATGCACTGTGGTTTTTAAAGAAACTTTGATACTAAGATCACAATACCTGTTGTGATTGAGTCGGTGAATATTTGTTCATCTCATGCCGGTTCTCCTCAGCTGGATTCTCAATTAAAAGAACAGCATGGCCAATTGACATTTTATTCACTACAGATTTTGGACTTGAAAATGGATTAGTTTCCACAGAAAGAAAGCGAATTTTTGCACAAAACCATTTTCTGAATTCATCCTTAGAAAAGAGAAAGGGAGAATGATAAAGGAAGGGTCAAATTATGTGCACTTTTAATTCTTTGCATGATACTATTTACTCATCTCTAATTTGGAAAGCATCACTTTCTGCTCATTAAATGGAGAAGCACTTCATGAAGTGCTTTCCACTGCTCACCACTCTAGGACATGCTTCACCGACACACACATCAACATTTTATGAAAGATCATGAGTAATTCTTTCATTTACCCATCTATATACTGGGACTAGATATTAAAACCTCCTGTTAAATGCTCTCATTTAGGATTTAAAAAAATAATAAAACTGGGATGTAGCAGCATCATAGTAGAAAGGCACTGGCCTAGTAAATGAAAGAGCTGGACTATAGTCCTAACTGGCCAGTGACCTTCACAGACAAGCATCTAATCTCTCAGGGCTTCAAAAGCTATAAAAGGAAGGGGGTGGATCTGATCATCTTTACAGTTCCTTCAACTCTAATCACATTCACCTAAAACACTCGAAACTCACTGAGGTGACGCCTCAAAGGGAAAAGAACTCAGACGCGGAGTAGATACACAGATATACAGATGCTTTTAGAAACACTACAATTAGTATTCCGCGTTATATCCTTCCATCCTCATTATATCCTTCTATCTGTTCCCTTGGTATATTACTGTGAACAAAGTAGACACAATGGCACTACTTTACTCCTCAAACAATCGGCTGTAAGTACACGCACTGACTTACAGTAGTCCTCAGCAGCACCACTTCACAGTCTTTAACTGCAGCTCTAACACAGGTCGCTTTCACCCGCCACTCAGGCATCCAGTAGAGGAAGAGGAGGAGAACACCACCAGTGCAAACCACTCCTAGAGAGACTAAGGCAAGCTTCCAGCGACACAAGTTATAACCATAAACTTCCTGGATGAACACAAACAGTGATCACATGATTAAATATCACATGATACGGCGCATACAGAAATTCCAAAGTTCTCTGTTTCCAGATGGGTGTCACTCAATAAATATGGCCTCTTTTTGTTCTGACCCATAAACTACAAATACTTTCCCAGTCCATAATTTACCTTTAAATTTTGTTTCCGGTAAATGTAATATCAAATTTATATTTTTTAAGTTGTCAAATGTATTGAACCTATGGCTTTACATCATATACATGGCTTTACATCTGATGTTATTAAGTTCTTTCCCACTTGCTGTTGCAGCATGGGGTGAGCAATTAGGGTCTCATAACAATGTATGTAAAAAAAATTTTGTATGGGAGACTAACTTGAAATGTAAACTTCATTTAATTACAACAACAAAAAAAAACCCCACTGACACAGTATATTGGATTCAACATATTTTTTGTAGAACTTCCATAATTTCATTTTTCTATTTATCTTTTTAATTTATTCCACAATTTACTTTGTCATAAGGCAGGATTTTTTAAATAAACTTGAAAGTTGCCAAGATATTACAGAATTCCCATATACCCTTTAGCCAGTTTTCCCATAATGTTAACACCTTACACAACTATGATACCTTTGTCAAAACCAAGAGATTAACACTGGTACAGTAACTAAACTCAGACTTTCTTTCTTTCCAGGATATAATCCAGAATACCATACTACATCTAGATGAGCTGGGTTTAACTTTGTTTTTTTTCCAAGTGATAAGCTAACTGTCCCAACAATGCTGTGACGGGTCAACAAGACCTACTAACCCAAATTATTTCAGTTACCCCCCATCAAGGTTGCCAGATTAGCAAACAGAACTACAGGATGTCTGGTTAAATTTGAATTTTTAAAAAACAAAGAATAATTTTTTAGTGTATGTCCTATGCAATATTTGGAAACCCTGGTGGCGTAGTGGTTAAGAGCTACAGCTGCTAACCAAAAGGGCGGCAGTTCAAATCCACCAGGTGCTCCTTGGAAACCCTCGGGCAGTTCTACTCTGTCCTATAGGCTCACTATGAGTTGGAACTGACTCGACGGCAATGGGTTTATGCAGTATTTGGGATATACTTAAAAAAGTATTTCTTGCTATCTGAATTTCAAATACAACAAAGCATTTTATGTTGTACCTGACAACCCTCTTTCCTCCCCTACAAGAGCTGAGAAGTTGTTTTTGTTTTTTTTGTTTTTTTTTTTTTTTTTACTTTTTTTATCACACTGATTTTAAACTTTTTTATAAATCAAAATCAGAAATCTTGTATTCAGGATTATATTTAAGTATTACCTAATGTAACTTCTCTAGAGGAACTTAAATCATTAAATGAAAAAACATACTTCTTTCTCTTAAGTGAAAAAGAAATTATAATAAAACCAACAATTAGAGCTGTTACTTAATCCCAGTGCAAAAACAGGATAAGCTCAAGAAGTGATGCCTTTTAAAATTTCAGGAAGGTCCCGATAAGGATGATTTGGCTGTTGTTTCTTTTGGTAAAGTACTTTTCTACTGTCTAGAATAAAGAGCCTGGTGATGCAAATGGTTAAGTGCTTGGCTACTAACTGAAAGGTGAGTGGTTCTAACCCACCAGCAGCTCCATGGAAGAAAAGACCTGGTGATCTGTTCCCATAAAGATTACAGCCCGGGAAACTCTATGGGGCAGTTCTACTCTGTCCTACAGGGTCTCTACGAGTCAGAATCAACTTGACGGCACACAACAACTCTCTAGAATAATAAACTGCAGAGATAAATTCTTCACATTTCACAAGTAAATTATAAAAAGTGGGTTACCATTTCATCTTCCTGACCCTGGTTGATAGTCTTCCTTTCTTCTTTGTCCATATCTACAGTGGTTTGAAAGGTTTCGTGCTTCAGAACAAGTGAAGATAACTGAGAGAAATAAAGGAGACAAACGTTAGGGAGCTACTTTGTACATCAGCAGGCCACCTAACTTCATTCTGTCATCAGTTGTCAACGACACCACCAAAGTGCTCCTTGAAAATATTCTGGTTACATTTGAATTCATCCAAAGCAATGACGAACACTTGCTGATGGGAAATTTCACACTGTGATACATGAATCAAAGAAATACAGTTAACTGTTAAGTAGTCACTAAAGCGCTAAACGGTTCCAATGACATTTTCAATGGCTACGCCAGTTCTTAAGGCGCTCTGGTGGTGCAGTGGTTAAGTGCTCAGCTGTTAACTGAAAGGTCAGCGGTTTAAAGCCACCAGCTGCTCCGAGGGAGAAGATGTGGCAGTCCATTTCCATAAAGAGTACAGCCTTGGAAACCCTATGGGGCAGTTCTACTCTGTCCTATAAGGTCGCTATGAGTCAGAATTGACTCAACGGCAACAGGTTTGCCAATTCCTGAATCTGCATTACTTACTATCACAATGCTTGGCATACTTCATTAACTAACTTATAGTAGCAATAGTATTAATAAAGGACAATTTAAATGCTGAGAATAACTACTACTAAATCCTCCTTTTTTATTCCCCAGATTCAGGTAAGTAGCCTCGTTTAAATATCTTGAGCTAAAAGTGCTTCACACAACGCTAAGTGTTCATTCCTTAAAGTACAGAGAAGAGGTAACGCATCAGCAGTGAAACCACGCCAAAAACCTCTCCAGGATTATGAAACTAACGATCCAACAAACATTTATTGAGCGCCTGTTACATGAATGGCAAGTCCTGGGCAGGAGTCAAATCCCTGCGGCAGGCACTCTCCTGCTGAAGACCACTCAACTGACTCTACCGTTCTGATTCCAACTCCACTAAGCAACCTTCTAGTTGTTTCTGACTATCCATGAAGCTTGTTTAAGAAGAAAATTCATTGAGCCCACTGACATACTTTTCTTTTTCTTCTGTTTAAAAAAAAAAAAATTCAATTTCAACTATTAGACATTCAACCAGACATTAAAGAGATCTGCAAGGTAAAACAACGCCAGTTTTCCTGCTATGTTTTGGTTTTGGTTTTAGAAAATGTATTTTTTTCATAAAAATGTTACTTGGTGTCATGGCTTGAATTATGTCCCCCAAAAAATGTGTGTATCAATTTGGCTGGGCCATGATTCCCAGTACTGTGTGGTTGTCCTCTATTTTGTGATTGTAATTTTACGTTAAAGAGGATTAGGGTGTGACTGTAACACCCTTACTGAGGTCACATCCCTGACCCAGTGTAAAGGGAGTTTCCCTGGGGTGTGGCCTGCACCACCTTCTATCTTACAAGAGATAAAAGGGAAGTGAGCAGAGAGGGTGCAGACTACCAAGAAAGCAGTCCCGGGAGCAGAGTGTATCCTTTGGACCCCGGGTCTCTGCAAAGAGAAGCTCCTAGCCCAGTGGAAGACTGATGAGAAGGCCAACAGAGAGAGAAAGCCTTCCCCTGGAGCTGACACCCTGAATTTGGACTTTTAGCCTACTAGACCGTGAGAGAATAAATTTCTCTTTGTTAAAGCCATCCACTTGTGGTATCTTCTCTTACAGCAGCATTAGATGACTAAGACACCTGGCTACCATGTAATCAGTTTATTTTTGTTTTGTTTGAATGACTTAATAGATACTTTATTAAATAATTAAAAACACTGAATGAATACTGAAAAAAATATATCAGTATTTTTAGATATAACCCACATAAACCAAAGCTCTTTGGAGTCCACAATAATTGTCCACAGAGTATAAAAGGGATCTGAGGCCAAAAAGTTTCAGAGCCACCGCTTTAGACTATGCTGATCTCTGCAGAACACAGGACTACTCTTTCCCTCATGTCAGATTCCATACTTCTATTCATCTACCCAGTGTGTGGCACAGGCCTGACACATGGCAGACAAGTAAAAGATACTTGCTGAATGAATGACCTGGTGAAGAGTTTATACTAAGATAGCAATCGTTACTGAACATTTTCAGGACACAAATAGCCAAGTGAAAACCAACTGCAGGATTTTAAACTGATTCCCTATATAAGACTGC